CCCAGCTGTGGCTGGACCTGCTCAGGCTAGTTGGCCCATCGCTGGCCGGCAGGGAGGCTGAACAAAATAGTCCAGGGGATACGTGCTGCTGTTAAATGAACCCCCCTGGTTGCCCAAGGGGAGGGGCTGAATGGTGCCACACTTATGGGGAGTCTGAACAAACTTCCCCTGACTACCAGTGCGGGCTCCTCTAAGAGTTGCTGACCTGCCTGATGCAAAGGCTGCTGGGCCGGAGTAATGCCTGGTGTAAGAGTGACGCCCTGTGGGGAGACCAGAGCGGTGCATGATCCCAATCCTTCCGGCTCCATGTCCTACATGCCCGGCTTGCTGGGCCGAGGAGAGTTACAGGGCGGGTTACATGTTCCTGGAGGTTTCATCACATGACAGAATCTTTCATTAAAGATTAATCTGTAATTCCTGGAGGCTGCAGGCCAGTTCTGGAGGGTTGGCAGCCCTAGTTACGGGTAAGAGCCTGGCTGCTGAGTGACGGACTTTCTCTCCTGCAGGCAGAGTCCCTGGGGTTAAAGCAGGGACTGATCCTTCCCTCTCTCTCCTCTCACAGCGAAGGTTCAGTTCCCTTTGCACACCTGCGACCTGAGGATAGACGGGGACTGCTTCATGGTTTCCTCTGAGGCAGACACGTACTATGGAGCCAAAATAAAATGCCAGGTAACCCCCATCAGCCCTTGTGCTGCAGGCAACAGACCCAGTTCATAGAGAGAGCCAGAAACCAGGGCTAGACCCTGCTCCTTCCAGTCCCAAAACACAGGCCACAACGGCTTGACCTAAAGGAGAGCTCCTGAGCTGCTAGGAGTAGTAGGTCTCTTACCTTTTCTGTGGTGCGTCCAGTAGAGGGCAGCCTCACTCACTCATGCACACAGAGCTAGTGTGTTGCTTAGGAAGCCACATTGGATAATATTTCAGTCCGGGGACAGGGGAATGAAATCCAGGCTTGTGCTAACACGCTCTGGGGAGGGGGCTTCGCTCTTTCCCACCAGCCCTGCGGTCTCTTCAGTCCCCAAGGCCCCACGTTTTATAAGGAACGCAGGGATCTGGATTCACTCGGGACCTCAGGCGGTCTCCAGTGGCTCCTCAAACCACTGCATGGCAGGGGCTGAGCGCGTGGTGGGCACGATACAAACTGTGGTGGTTTCCGAATTGCGAATTGTGAGCAAATGTTACACGATGCCCCTGGGCGGATGAGAGACCAGGGTGCAGGCAGCGTGGCCTGCTGGTCACGGCCGGGCTGTGTCCACACGCTAAGGCCAGCCACGGGGCGCTAGTCAGCGAGCAGGGATGGGAGGAATCGAGCGAGGGTCAGAGCGAAGCTGGGTTGGAGACTGGAGAACAGGCAGCAGGATGGGGTCTGGAGTCCCAGCGGGCCAGACAGCCTGCTGGGCACCCTTCCCGGTTACATAGGGAGCATGGGCCAATCAGAGGCTGCAGGGTGCTGTCACCTGTGGCGCCTACTCTCGGCAGTGCTCCGGGGCTGGGCTCTGGCTGGCCTGGCGGTGGTGTGGGAGTGGCAGCCGGCCCACGTTCTGTACATCCCGGTGCTGGTCCCGTGGTCCTGGCAGAAGGGCTTGGACCTGGGGCCTCTGGCTCAAACAGCCTCTGCAGTGTAACTAAAAGAGCTCCCCTCGAGCCGGCTTGTTAATGGCTTTCTGTAGGGGACAGCACGCCCCGGGAGCGGGGCTGGGTGTCACGAGCCACCCTGGCCTGCGGCGGTATGTCCCACCTGACCATTGACCCTGGCGAGCCGAGGGGACGGGCCGCAGGAAGGGAGATCTGCGAGGGCGGCCGGGTGCAGCCCACAGCGAGACGCATCATGCCAGCCCTTCCCCCGCCCCTCAGGCTCTCGCCCCCACGGGCCATTCCATCGATTTCACTCCTGAGTCGCCCCAGGGGGAGCGTCCAGTCCGGTTTGGCTGCCACGTGTCGCAGCCTGAGCCCTCTTCCATGGCAGGGGTTTGGGAGCGAACAGCCCAGGCCAGCTCCTCGTCTGTGGCTGGAAATTTCTCTCCATTTGCAGGCAGGATCTTGGCTTTGATCCCTGAGGCCAGTGCCGCGAGCGATTTCTGTGCACCTGGCGCAGGCAATAGAGAGTGCCGGCTCGGAGCCCTGGGAGTTAATCTGCCCACAGGGGTGACGATCAGCTGGGAGAGCAAGTCGCTCTATCGAGTGTCTGTTCCATGAGAACAAAGCAAGCCAGCCTCTGGGCTCCCCTGGGTCACACGTGTTCACGCCGCGCAGCAGACTCGGTGCTGCTGGGAGCTTTCAGGCCCTTCATTCCCTGTGGAAGAGAAGTCGCTGGGGAACTGGACTCCTCTGCCTGCCTGGAATTGATTTGGGATACAGCTTGGTGGGGATGGGGAAAGTGCACATATGGGGACTGGCCCGTCTGGGTTGCAGGGTCTAAACTGGGGCTGAAGGGCAGGGTTAGCCTGTGGAGCCAGCTGGACGGATTTCGTGATTTGGGCTGTCTGGGTCTGATCCCCTGCAGGAGAAAGGAGCCAGGCTGGCCCAGATCACAAATCAGAAAGTGCAGGACATTCTGGCCTTTTACCTGGGGCGTTTGGAACCCACCAATGAGGTGACAGAGCCGGATTTCGAGACCCGGAACTTCTGGATCGGTGAGTGGCTGCAGTTTTTGCTGCCCAAGGACAGCTGGAGCCCCAGGGCTGGGACAGGACTTTCCAGAGGCAAGGAGGAGGTGATCGCGGCCCCAGAGACCTTGCAGGCTGGGTCCCTGCCCAGAGGGAGGACGATGCAGTCTGTCCTAGCGCTGCCAGCAGAGAGTGCAAGGTCACCCTGGCGGGATCCCGAGGCGGGCGCAGAGCTCTGTGCTGTGTGCGAAGGCTGGAGTCCCGTCTTTCCAACTTTGAAAAGTCCTCGCTGCGATTGTAGGGCAGCACCTAGGTACAGTAAAATCCAGCCCCGCTTTCCGGATCACGTGCCCTAAGTGATCACAGTCCTGGCATCTCCACAGAGCTTGTCGTCTTCAAAGTGCTCTGCAGACAGGAGCTAATGAATGAACTCGGTTGCAGTTGTTTCTGAGGGGCAGAGTTGCTCATGGGGTGATGTTCTCCCTCAGGCTGCTGATGGAAGTGCTGCTGTCTGATAATACTTAGCATTAACCCTCCCCAGCCCCCCAGGAGGGAGGTATCTGTGTTTCACAACTGGGGAAACCAAGGCACAGCGGGGCCATGACTTGCCAGGGGTCACCCTGGGAGTCGGGATTAGAACTCAGGACATCTTGACACCTCAGCCTGGAGTCACTGGGCCAAACCATGCTGCCTCGCTGTTGGAACTGGGTCGAAGTTACCCGCTGGCTGCCTTGGGAGATGGTGGCTCAGCAGGGGGGGATTGGAAAGGGTGTGTGAGCAGCAGGGACAGCTGCAGGAGTTTGGCTCGGGTGAGAGGCTGGGAACCCGCACCCAGCTACAGCTGCCACACTGTGCCCTCCGTGGGGGCTGGCCCGGGGGCTGGCCTGTGGGGTATTCGCAATGCAATGCCCTCTGAGTGTGAGGGAGCTCGAGGTGGGGAGGGGGGACGGGCCCCGATCTCTCTAGGGGCCGGGCACAGGGCATTGGAACTAGCCCAGAGGCTGCCACGCACAGCGAGGTGTTTGGCTTGCTAGAGGCATTGAGCGTGCAGCCCCGGCTGTTTGAGTCGGCAGAGCCCACGTGCGGCTTCGCAGTGCAGGCAAGTTCAGAGCTGGGAGTGTGATACAATCTTAACTTCCTGATGGCAGCAGGGACAGAACAAAGTCCCCTGAGCTAATGGAGAATCGCTGCTAGCAGCGTGGGGCTCGTGACACACGGCTCAGCCGCAGGGGCACAGATCCCTCGCGGTTCATGGCCCTGCGGTCGCTGTGCTGCTGGGGCTGCTGACTCACATGGACGGCCAGCCCTGCTCCTCGGCGGAGATGCAGCCAATGGGGACTTGTGTGATGAGACTCAGGCCCAGCGCTGTGGTGGTGCGTAGCTGCCGCTGTGCCCCTGTGGACTGGAGCCCCAGGGCGTCCCCTGTGCTCTCTCGTTTAGGTTTGACCTATAAAACATCCAAGGATTTGTTCCGCTGGGACACCGGCGCCCAGCACTCCTTCACCAGCTTCGCGTTCGGCCAGCCAGACAGCCAGCGGTAAGTGACCAGGGCAGGGGCTGCTGCTACTCCCGCTTGATCCAAGGCCCGATGGCACCGAGCCCGCCGGCAGCACCTGTCAATATTTATTCGCTGTAGTGCAGGAGAACCTAGAAACGCCAGTCATGGCCCAAGCCCCCAGTGTGCCAAGCTCTGTACGAACACAGAACAAAGAGCTGGTCCCTGCCCCCAGATCCTGCACCCCGTGCTCTCCTCCTGGGCATGGGACCGCGCTTCTCTCTGCCCTAGGCTCCTGCACCCCCTCCTCCCCTCCCGGGCTTGGGACAGCTCTCCTCTGCTCTGGGACTCCTGCACCCCCTCCTCCTGTTCTGGGACAGGAACCACTCTCTGTGCTCGGGGACTCCTGCACCACGTGCTCCCATAGTCCCCTCCGGGCCTGGGACTGCTCTCCTCTGCTCTGGGACTCCTGCTCCCACTATTCCCCTCCCAGGCTTGGGACAGCTGTTCTCTCTGCTCTGGGACTCCTGCACCCCCTGCTCCCCTCCCGGACCTCAGACCGCACTTCTCTTTGCCCTAGGCTCCTGCACCCCCTGCTCCCCTCCGGGCCTGGGACAGCTCTCCTCTGCTCTGGGACTCCTGCCCCCACTAATCCCCTCCCGGGGCTGGGAACGCTCCCCTCTCTGCTCTGGGTCTCCTGCACCCCTGTTCCCCTCCCGGGCATGGGACCGCTGTCCTCTCTGCTCTGGGATTCCTGCACCCCGTGCTCCCGTTCTGGGCCTTGGACCGATGTCCTCTGCTCTGTGTCTCAGGTTTGGGAACTGTGTTGAGCTCCAGGCATCAGCCGCCTTCAACTGGAATGACCAGCGCTGCAAGACGCGAAACCGCTACATCTGCCAGTTTGGTGAGTGACCCAGCTTCTCTCCTCTCCCTCGCCCGTAACCCGCTCTGCGTGGGGAGGGGCATGCAGGCATTGAGCCAGCTGCTGGCTAGTGCTTGGGTGGCAGGCCTGCGCGCTGTGCTAGCGCCCCTTAGCCCTGACCTGCAGCATCCCAGACAGCTCTGCCAATGCCCCTCGGCCCTCACATACAGCCCCTGCTGGGCTCCCTACATATATGGCTCTGCCGATGCCCTTCCGCCCGAAATGCCAGCCTTGGGATCCCCACACACAGCTCTGCCGATGCCCCCCATCCCAACATGCAGGCCCTGTCCTAGGCTCCCAGCCCCCACAGATCTGCTGATGTCCCTCATCCCTGACCTGTAGCCCCCAGCTATTCCAGGCCTGGGTAACCCAGGGCTGTACTCTCGTTAGTGGTCTTGGCAGAGAATGAGCCACCTCTTACCCATAGAGTTGGTCCCTGCAAGAGGCATGGTGGCTGGGCAGCATGGAAGTAGTTTGCACAGCTGCTGCCCTTCCTGTGCCCAGTCTGGTTAACAGGCCCCTGGCTCGCTGCCCAGCACCGCAGTCACCAACAATTCATTTCAAAGTTTTAAAACAGCCCTTTCCTGGATCTGAACTGTGCCACGGGAACTGATGCACGTTGCCCACATCTAGGCTGGTTCGCAGGAGGGCGAGCGTGGCTGGGTGCCGGCTGGCACACACCTGCCTGGTCTGTCCCCATTACCCAGTCTGGGTGCGCTAGCTAAGCTAGCTACATAGTGCCCAATTACCATTTTATCTAGGGCAGCGGTTCTCAAACTGTGGGTCATTTTAATGGGGTTGCCAGGGCTGGCTTAGACTTGCTGGGGCCTGTGGCCGAAGCCTGAGCCCCACCACCCGGGACCGAAGCCTGAGGGCCCCAGCCCTGGGCGGCTGGGCTCAGGTTATAGGTCCCCCGCCTGGGTCTGAAGCCCTTGATCTTCGGCTTTGCCCCCCACCTCCTGGGGCTTTGGCTTTGGCCCCCCCAGGCGATGCAGCGGGGCTCAGGCAGGCTCAGGCTTCAGTCCCCCCTCCTGGGGTCATGTAGTCATTTTTGTTGTCAGAAGGGGGTCGTGGGGCAATGAAGTTTGAGACCCCCCCGATCTGGGGTAATGTGTGCATTGTGCCTCCTCTAGGGGCTAGTGCACATAAAGGATAACAGCCTACTATTGCTGTTAGCTCATGGAGTTAGGGCTCCCATGACGTGCTGGGGTGGATCTGGGGGTTTTGTCGTTATGGGGCCCGGCTGGCTGGCCGTGGGCTGCGGGCCCGACCCTGGCGGGGTAGCACTAACGCTGGCTGTGATCCTTTGCAGCTCAGGAACACATCTCCCTGTGGCAGCCGGAGCCCTGAGCCCGCACAGCTTCCAGCTGCTGGGTGGTGGGCGCGGCGTCGCCTCCAGCCCGCACGCAGCTTGAGAGAAAGAATCCGCTGCCCCTATTCTGCCAGGTCCTCTCCAGCTCCCCGGGCGCTCAGCCCATCCCAGCCACGCTGACACCCCTCCCGGAGGGCCGGGCGCTGGAGGTGGCACCAGGACCTGCCGAGCGCTCAGGGAGAGAGCGCTTCCCGGGCTGCCCTTCCAGCGGGGACGTGGGGGGGCCAGATCAACCCGCACAGCTGCTTCAGGGGCCCTGACTCCACCAGAGCCATCGCGGTCGAGCCAGGTGGGGGTCTCTGGGGTGCATCCCAGCCCCTTGTCCACGGAACAGCCCCGAGCACCTGTAAAATAGCCCCTCTCTCACACGTGGCCGCTGGGGCAAGGGCAGCTGCTTCGTGTCCCCACCCCCTTCCTCTGGGGCGTGATGGCACGTCAGTGCAGGGAGCCCCTCGCTTCCCCCGGCTGGGCCAGAGGGAGCAGGGCACCCCCCGGTGGTTACCCCCAGTCCATAGCGCTGCGGCCCTGAGACGGGAGTCACTGGCGGGAGTGGACTGGGGAGCTGAGTGGCACAGAGCAAGAGGGTGCCTGTCCCGCCTAGAGCTGGCAGGGCTCTGCCAGGGCTGTGGGGTGTGGGGCAGGGGCCCCAGGAATCACAGCCGAGACGTGCCCTGCAAAGAAGGCAGATGTGGCTGCTGGGTCTAGGCCTCGGTGTCCAGTCGCTAGCCAGGGCCATCCCGCCTCCCGCTGCAGCTCGGCTGCCCGGGGCAGCCTTCCCTGGGCAGGCAGGTGCAGCGTGGCCACACTCTCGGCCCCATGCCCCTTCGCTGTGCCAGTCAGTCCCACCACGGCTCAGCGCTAACGAAGCCAGCTAGCTCTGGTACTGACCCAGTAACCTAGCAGAGCAGGGCTCTGAGCTCCCCTAGGCCTAGAGGCTTTTTGGTTCAGGCCTGTTCCTTCGCCCTGTGTAGCATGCGCTCCGGCCGGGGGCGCTGTCTAGGCGACACGAACTCTTCCCGCTGTTTGAGAGCTGGGGCTGTTCTAATAAAGCCGTCTGTCCCTCCTGCTGCGCATGTCCCTGTCTCTAGCTGCGGGGCTGGCCCGGGTGAGCGGCTGGGAGCCACCCGCCTTGGCGTGAGGCAAAAGGAGGAGAAAAATGGGGAGTGGTGGAAGCAAAAGCCAGGGGCCCTCCTCAGCCTGTCACCTGCTCCCTGCTGCAATTATCTCTCCTACCACTTCCCACTGGCATCCTACGCTGGGACAGGGCTCCCACTCCTGCCTGCCATCCCAGGGCTCTGCTCGCCTGCCCCCTAAGCTGTCCCAGCTGGGCAAGGAACCGCTCTGCAAAGAGCTGCGTGTGGCCAGGGCCCCAGGGAATGGGAAGGCTCCAGAGCACAGCAGACCTCGGCTGGGAGATCGTGAAGTGCCCTGCAAAGTAAAAGAAAGCAAGGGGGCTTGGGCCATTTTCTGCTGCTGTGAGGGGGTGGGGGAGGGGCTCTGCTTGGGTTTTACACTGGAAATTCAGAGCCTGTCTGGCCAGGCAGCCTCGCGGGCGACTGGGGAGCTAGTGTAAACGAGGGAGGGAAAGACGAGGTTTAGTTATGAGCATTGGATGGGGGTGTCTAGGATCAGGCCGTGGTGCAAGGTGCTGTACATACACACAATGTGGCCTCAGCCCCCAGGAGCTCACGACTGAAGGATTTAAAACCTCTGGTGTTTGCCACCAGCTGCTGCATTCACTGCCTCGGGAACGTTGTGGAGAAGCTGTTTTGGGAGAGATTCCACGCACACACTGCATACCCCCAGGGACGGCCAAGCTAACCCCGTCGCCGGCTATTTCGAAGCAGGAAAGGGCCGAAAGCTCAATTTAAAAAACCCAAACTAAACCTGCTGGCCAGCTAACTGTGACATCGGCATTAGTCCAGCCCAGTGCCTGGCTCACTGCCTGGGGGTAGGACCTGGGGGGGGAGGGAGGGGGGGTATACGATGAAGTTGTGGGTAGGGTCAGGGGAAATTTTTTTCATCTGAAACATTTTTCCCCTCTGAAAAATGCAGCTTCAGGTCAACCGAACCAATTGGCTAATTCACGGTGAACTTGCTGAATCAGTCAGGGGAAAAGCCCCAAACCCTCGGCAAAGATCGCCCAAAACATTACATTTCCCCCCACGTCAACATGATTTTTAGATGAAATTTCCTTCAATGTTATTACAAAAAATTAAAAACCTTTTAAAAGGTTCATAAAATAAATGAAACATTTTGTTTGGTCTGACACCCCCCCCCAACCTTTCCATTTTGGGTCACCCTCCCGTCAGCCCCCCATGCAGCCAGGCTGCCCCCTGCATCTTCCAAGGACTCAGTGCAAACACCAGCACTTCACCGTTTAGAACGCGCTGCACAAACGTTAACCAAATCTTTCTCTGTCGTTTCCTTGTGGGGGGTGGGGTCCAGAGGAGAGTGCAAAGGTGCCAGTGGGGGAACCCCACATGGGAGCAGGGGAGCTACCCCAAAGGAGCAGGGGTCCTGGTGTCTATCAATAAAAATGCAGAAAAATACACATGACGGGATCCCCCCAGGGTGCAGCCTGGGACTGTGGGATCACTGTGCCCCCTGAACTCTCCCCAGCCTGGGCTGTCTCTCACAATGCCTTGCTAGGGACCAGCAGCAAACCCCTCCAGGCACCGTGATCACTCAGCACAACCACATGCGGAGCCCCACACCCAGATAGATTGCCTGAATGCTCCCAGAGCCGCTCATGAATCACCCAGAAAAAGGCATCAGAGCCAAATCCCCCCCAGCTCCCCGCACTGTACCCCAGGAATGTACCATCTTGCCCTGCTCAAGACAAGCAGTGCAAATGTATTAATTGGTTCCCCATTTCAGCAATGGAAAGTGGATATACACCAGCCTTTGTACCCTGAGCAGATTTGCCCCACACTTCATACAAACTCACTGGTAAAGATAAACAATTAAACCAATTTATTGACTGTGAAAGGAAGAGTTTAATTGATATTAAGTGACAGGCAAAAAGTCAGAGTGGTTAACAAACTAAAATAAAATATAAGCACAGAGTCTAAACTCTCAACCCTATTCGGTAGCATCTGGATGAAGCACAATTCTCCTAACTTCACAGGCACGAATGATACACATCTATGACTAGAGAAATGTCTCCGGCAGATCGTAACCTTTCCCCTGCTACCTTACAAGCCGTGCTTTGTATGTACGCCCACGCTTACATACAGATGAGGAATACGGGAGTTCCAGGACGCTCCCCCAAGGTACAGAATGTCACAACACACCCAGGAAGATGTCAGTGAATTGTTTCTCACTAGACCATTGTTCACCCTGCCCCACTAGCCTTTCGGGCAGCCTCCACCTCTGTCCAGTGCAAACCCGGCTTCAGGGCTGGGAATCCAGCACCGCCACCAGCCTTTAAAACACCCCGTTTAAAGGGACACGTTTTCCCAAGGCAGCAGAACAGTCCAATGCCACACAAGAATGGGGGAGTAGGACCCGGCGCAGGGGGCATCAGGATTTTTAATACCACCCTCTTGTGAAGAGTGATAATGCAAGGAAATGACCCGTGTGTGGACTGCAAGTCGGAGCTGCTGACCCTACTGGCTGCCAATCCAGATCAGAGGTCCTGATCCGACCCCCCATTCACAGAACTGGAGTTTTCCCACTGGGCTCTGGAGCCACCAGAATGGTTCCTACATGCCGGCCAGTGCGTCTGAGAGCGCAGTGTGTGCGTCTCCTCTTTAACAGGCCGCAGCAGCGCTGAGAACGGATGGCTGCTGGCTCAGTTCTCAGCAGCGGCCAGGTGCAGGACACAGAAAGCAAAGGCATGGTAGAGCCCTAGCTCCATACACCACAGGATCCACACATTAGACAGGGGGATGATAACAACACCCAGCCCATGGCTAGCACTTTTCATCAGCAGATCTCAAAGTACTTCACAAAGCAGGGCGGGGGGCAATAGCCTTATCATTTTACACATGGGGAAACTGAGGCACCAGCAGAGCCAGGAACCAAAGCCAGCTCTCCCAAATCCTAGTGCAGAGCTCTAGCCACTCAACCACGCTGCACCTTTGACTCCAGTTTCTCCTATAGCTACCTGCAAAGCGCAGGGTTCGGCGTAGATGCCCTGATGGGAGGGCATTAACTCCTGCAAGAAATACATGGGCTCCTGCACTCAGGTCTTGCTGTTCCCTGCTGACATGGCCAACGAGGGGGCAGTTCAGGCCAAGTGCACTGAGAGCTTGAGATCACCCGCTGCCCACAGAAGGGGACAGCTGTTGGTCACTAACTCCTTGGCCAGGATTAGAACCGGTGCACCAGGAGAGAAGAGCGTCTGTGGCACGTGGCACTAGCCACCCCAAGGGCCTGCATCTCCCTGCTGAGAGTGCTTCCTAGTAAGAACCCCAGCGCCCCCAGCAATGGGCCTATAAAACCAAGCCTCCATCCCAGCAAGCTCATGAGAGCCAGGCAGCAATTAACAAAGGGCCAGACCCGAACAGCGGGTGGCTGGGCCAGTCCGGGACCGGCTTGCTAGGCCAGAGCTTCCCTGTGAAGGGCCCAGTTCTGCTCTCACTCAGGTAACGCCACTGAAATCAGCAGCTGTTCCACCCCCAGGTGCATGGCAACAGCCCCTCCGTCTGTCGCAGGGGCACCCACCCAGCCTCAGGCAGGACTGGGGTGGCACTGGCTTGGGCACGATGAAGCTGCATCATCTGGGCACGGAGCTAGGCAGTGCTGGGCCCAGCCGCTGGATCTCAGGGAATGCCTGGGGGAGGAGAGGCTCCTCTCTGCCCGTGGGGACTGAGAACAAGGGCTGTGTGACAATGCGGTTCTGGC